ATCTGACAATGAGATTTTAGTTACGACGGAAAACTCAAGAAAACGATCAGAAATAAAACGGAGAACAGCTTCATTTTATTGTAACTTTGTTTCTCAAAGTGAAAGAGTCAAAACAAGTGAATCAAATTGATCAAATGACCATTTGGAATGGATTTAATGTTGACCAGAATAGTTTAAATTCGCTATCTTCTTTCTGAAATAGAAGCAAGTCAGTTGTGAAAGCAAATGTTTGATGAAAGTAAATTTTAAATATTTAAACATTAGCCCAATGTTAGGTTCAAATAAGGCTTCTAGTGGGTTCAAGCGGGGATTTGAAACAACCCAGTAACCCAGTTTTGAACTAACTCTAGTAAATTATCTCTTAAATCTCTTGTCCATTTAAGTTCGAAAATTTGCGAATTAATGAAATTTACAAATTTTAAATAAGATTAGGAAAAAGGTTTAGTAATTAAACGAACCCAAAAAGTGGATAAAAACGAGAAAACGCATTGAATACGCTTTCCGGGATATGAGTAATGATTGATAATTCAATCAATACAAAAATAGACTCCGATTTTTGTCAAAAAAAGAACTGCCTTGGTGTATTATACAAAATGTTCATAAAAATCAAAAATTCGTCTTCATTTGACTCTGATTTTCTTTGGAAAACTATATGCGAAGCGAACTCTTCGAATTATAAAATGTCTGGTAAACCATCTTTTGTTCAATGATTTACGCATAAGAAATACCCTAGAGACCATTAATTTTTCTTCTCGACAAATTAGTTCATTTCTGTTTTAGTTCATTTCTGTTTTAGTTCTTCATTTTGTTCGAACTAACCTTACGACTTTATTCTTACGATTCACAAATTCATTTTTTTCCGTTATTCAAAACAAAATGCTGGGCCACATGAATTTCAGTCATTATGTGGTGTTTGCCTTCGGTTCTACATCGATTTTTGCGAATTTCGGATTGATTTATTTGATTGCCAGATATAGGTGAACAAATTACCATTGAAAAGATCCTTTTCTGCAGTAGTTTTCTGCAGTAAAGCCAGGATAGTTTTCTTTCTAGTCCAATCCTAGAAAAAATGCCGGCTCTTGCGTAGTTTGAAAGAATCTGAGAAATGTTTTGAAGCTAGTATAATAAACGGATTTTTTTTTTGTTTCAGTCGCCCAGAGTTCGGTCGCTACAAATATCTGATGATGACTTTTTCTTCTTTCAACATAATCTACCCGCTTTTTACTCTCATTCTGATGCCGGTAGTGATCTAAATTTGCATATCATCAATTCAATTCTTTCAGGGTTGTCACGTTTTCGGTTATTCTTTTACCTTTTACATCGCTAGTCCATTGGATAAATATATCAGTCAATCCTTTGGACAAGTATGGAAGCATAGCTGCAAAAAAGTCATTCAAATTTCAGCTCATGCTTTTGTACTGGTCTATTCTGTACAATAAACAGCTTATTCTAATCGTTTTTCATTTTCTCTATCGTTACATCGTTGTGTGTCGGTGAGTTAAAAGCATATGAAAGTCCATTTTTGCACTTTTAGCTTTCATTTGATGCCACTTTTCAAGCGACAATCGATTCAATCACTTCTATTTCTTTATATTTTGATTGATCTCTCACTGTGGACTTGGTTTTTCGAGAGTCAATCGTGGGCATTGAGAGCGAACAGGGTAAAAACAGGGTTGTTGTTGGCGTCACAAACAACAACAAAAAACAAGTTGGTGTCTACAAGTCAAGCCAAGACTACACAAGTCAAGACTACAAGTCAAATCTATAGTCAAATCTATAGTCAAATCTATAAGTTATTCCCAAGAGTACTTAGCCTTTTCTAACTTTTCACCAATTTCAGTGGTACCTGAAAGAAGAATTTCACAATCTTTATGAAATCGATTCGGAGAAAGCATCGCTTTTGGGACCATTGTTCAAGGTTTGAATTGAAAGGCAACAGAAAACAGTGCTCATTCAGTATAACACGTCGAGCGGAGCATGGAAATACGCGCCATATCAGTTACTCTCGACGACAGTTGTGATGAGTCTTGTCGTCTACAAGTTTTTCGTGATGGTAAGTTATTAAAAAAAATCTATTTATGAGTCAGTCTTATAATAAATCAAGTAATATTCCTATAAAACAGTTTCAGGTTTGGTTTACTATCAAAATTCACAAAGCTTTAAAGTCAAGTCTGTTGAGTCATCGAGCGAAACAGATGCAACGGGATCTTTTGCAAGCCTTGATTGCACAGGTAGAAGTTTCTAAAAGCTACCGTACTTCGAGATTTTTACACTAATGAATCTATTAATGCTTTATGTAGTCTACCACTTAATTGTTCTTGTGAGTGTTGTTTTGAATCAAAACGTAAGCACTCAACATCTGACATCAGTCAATAGCAGAAAGGACAACTATTAGGTTGTCGGATTATGAATTGCCGTTGTCTTTTTTGCTTTGTATTTTTTTTTTCAAATAAATTTTTGTGGTACTTTTTTAACTATATTAAAGAGCGTTTTATGCCGCGTCGATTGATATATTATTCGTCTATATTTGCTTAGATTTTTAATATAAATTTGTCTTAGGAAATGAACGACATCAAAAATAAAATGCGGATTTGTTTGTTGTACGACTTCAAACAAAGAAAAACAGCGGCAGAATCCCATCGCTCTATCAGCAATGCATTCGGAGAAGATGTTATCAACGAACGTCAATGTCGCAATTGGTTTCAGCGCTTTCGGGACGGCGACGAGAGCCTTGAAGACAAAGAACATGAGAGGCGACCAAAACTGTGGACGATGAGGAACTTAAAGCAGCCATCGATTCTGATCCTGCCCAAACGACACGAGAACTTGCTGAGAGGTTCGGTTGTCATCATTCCACCATTGCTGACCACTTGCATGCCATTGGTAAGGTGAATAAATGCGGTAAATGGGTGCCTCATGAACTAAGCGATTTGAGCAAAACAACGCGAATCAATATGGCCGGAATTCTTTTGCGTCAAGCCAAGAACAGTGGTTTTTTGAGTCGATTGTCACGTCTGATGAAAAGTGGATATCCTTTGATAATACCACTAGAAAACGACAATGGTTGGACCCTGGACAAACCTCAAAACTGACTCCAAAACCAGACATCCATGGCAAAAAGGTGATGCTATGTGTTTGGTGGAATAGCAAAGGATTGGTGCATTTTGAAGTGCTAAATTCTGGTCAAACGGTTAATGCGGACCTCTACAAAGAACAATTAAGCCGCGTCGATCAATCGCTTCGTCGACAGGGAGTGGAAACAGCGTCAACAAAATTGCTCCATGACAACGCGCATCCACACACCGCAAAAGTAACTCTCAAAAAAATTGGTGAATTGGGCTGGGAACTTCTGCCTCACCCGCCATATAGCCCAGACCTTGCGCCATCTGATTACCCTTTGTTCCGGTCGATGCAGCATTCCTTGGTCGAAAAAAAAATTCAAAAACCGCGATGAAGTCCAAATTTGGGTGGCCAATTTCTTTGAGTCACAGCCGGTCGAGTTCTTCAACAAGGGCATTCATTCTTTGCGTGGACGTTAGCGATATGTCATAGATACCGATGGAGAATACCTTTTAGATTAAATTATTTTTGTATTGATTTTATAATAAAATTACTTTTTGATAAAAACGGCAATTCATAATCCGACAACCTAATAATTCAACCGTCAAATGAGGATTAAACCATCAATCAAACGGAAAACCGGTAGTCTAACTTGAGAAGGGTGTGATGGCTAGTTTTTAAGCAAAGATTAGAAGTAATGAGCTCAATGAACTCGTCTAAATGCTTATAGAATTCCGGATATAACCGCCTCTCAAAGCAATTTTTGGAAATCCTCTAAACGAGACAAAAAGACTTTGAGTCGGTGGGCGGAGAGCAGCCAATATTGGATAGCCAGGCCAACATTGGACCAAATATCCGAACCAGTAGGTAAGAGCAGGACAAAAAGATCCTGGTCTGCAGTAAAGCCAGGCTAGTTTTCTTTCTAGTCCAATCTTACAAAAATTGCCGTCTCTTGCGTAGTTTCCGGGTATTTTGAAAAAATCCGATTATTTTGAACGGGTCGTCATGCTTTGAAGGTCTATAACTTTGTCCAGAAATAATATTATAGTCAACTTTTTATATCATTGTACAGAGGAAATTCCAGGCTTTCAAATGCTATAAAATAGAGCTTGACTGAATTTTTCTTTCCCATACAAACCAGGCGACAAAACACCCGAGTTGGAAAGACCTCATTTGTTCAGAGTTGGTTCTGATTTTCTTGGACTCGATGATCCAATCAAGCTCTATTTTGTAGCATTTGAAAGCCTGGAATTTCCTCTGTACAATGATATAAAAAGTTGACTATAATATTATCTCTGGACGAAATTATAGACCTTCAAAGCATGACGACCCGTTCAAAATAATCGGATTTTTTCAAAATACCCGGAAACTACGCAAGAGCCAAATTGCCTTTACTATTCCGGACTGGAACTGAGGATGTAAAGCATTAAATTTATTTGCAGCATTTTTCACATTTATATTTTATCCGGAGTTCACTGTCCGATCATAAGTTTCCTTTATAGACTGCTTGTCCCTTTGTGATGGAAGTCGTCCCATGTTTAGTCGCTCATTTCTGTGCTCTCAACGCGATCTACATAGGTTACTGGTTGGTTTAAAAGGACAAAAACAATAATGACAAGGTTGTAGGCTTATCATAATGTTTTAAAATAGAAATTTCGGGTTTAGGTGCAATTATTTCTTCATCACCGTCTCGATGTTTCCTCTTTTGGATGCGATTTCGATGACGTATTTTATTCGTGACTACCGGAAAGCCGTACTCAGAAATTGGTGAGATTTTTGAGAATTTAACACTAATTTGAAGCAATATTTTAATAGGAAAAAAACTTTCTCACGAATTTCAATGAGTTCCGTTGATGAGACACCGAATGAACGCCGACCAGCAAAGCTTCAACCAATTTGATAATGATTTTGAAATTTTTATTAAATTTGATAAAACGTTATGAGTATTGTTTCAATGAATCAAAAAAAGAACACTTTTTTATTTTGAGTCGAGTGGATCGTGGTGGAGCTTGGAGTGCTTGATCTGTCATCGTTTTTTCGCTTTCTTCTTCCAGCTCTTCGATCATTCTCTTTTCCTAAAGAGTTAGAATTTAAAATTTAGGTAAAATGCAATGCTATGAGCATTTATTACTCTTTAAAAACAGTTTCAGATATCAACTTTAACTTTATGTAAAGCTGAATGCAGTTATAAATCAATTCAGCTATTGGGTTGGTGAATTGAAAACTGCCGGACTTTGAACTAAAATTTATTCAACATAAAACCATGAATTCATTCCAAATAATTTCCATTATTATTGACGACTTCTGCCCATTTTACAGGCAATTTGCGGATTCCTCTTTCGTAGTAGGATTTTGGTTTGTGTGTGAGACAAGTGTGGGACTCAAAAATGGAGGAGATGTCAGCTGTCAGCCCAGTCTGAGCACTTTCTTCAAAAGAAACCCATTTTGGTGTCAGTAGAAAAGTTGTAGAGAATCAAAAATTAGGCTTATAGCCAAATTTCTAAAAAGATACACTTAGTAGTTTCGCTTAAAATGCAAGTTTTGTGAAAACTCGTAAATTTGGCATTTCTTGAAAACCAGTTTTTGAATCGTTCTGAAAATTTGGATATAAGTTTGATTTTTGATTCTCTACAACTTTTCCATTGACACCAAAATGGGTTTCTTTTGAAGAAAGTGCTCAAACTGTCACATGTGACAATAGCCGGCAGTTTTCAATTCACCAACCCAATAGATGTAGGTGAACATTTGCATTTAATAGATGCAATTTGCATTTAAATGGCTTTTAGTTCAAAGATAGCTTCTCCATTTTTAACTCAAAATATCTACTCGCGATTTAAAGCATTACCTCAATTTTTGGATCAGTTGAGTCATGAAAGATTGACACTTGAACAAAACCCAAATTTGGATCATTGAGAAGATCCTGAGAACTAATTTTTGATCCTTAAAATCTCTATCATTGTTTTACCAGTAAATTTGAGTTAATTTCCCGTAAAGTTGGTAGATATTTCTCGGAGATCAGCTCAAAATCGTCACCAAGTTTACTAAAATTTGAAAATCCAATAGAAATGAATGTCTAACCGACCGACAATCGAAACTTTCTTTTCTAGCGCGCTCAATGTTTTCCCTCTTAATATTCGAGATTTTTGATAAAAGACTCTGAAATTTTTTTGTGATTATTTTGTTAGAATAAAAATCTTTCACCCTTTTACCTCACCTTTTCAAACATGGAGATATTATCGAGGAGATCTTGATGTAATTGTGGGAAGATTTCTTTGTAACAACTTATTTGGCTTGACACCGATTTGCTCGTTTCATCAATGATCTTTTCAATCTGAATTGCTTCTATAGAGAGTTTCAAGGCTTCACGACGTTTTCTAGCTGACTAGCTCGATTTGCTCTGATTGGATTACACTGCTTCAACTAATTATAGAGCCACTTAAGTTTTTTTTTAAAACTCAGTCGCAACTTTTAAGAGAAATCAATGCAATTCAGCTTTAGCTAGTAGAAAATCTTTGTACTAAGCCTTTCTGTAAATTTTCATTTAGAAGTTGCTAACTGTCGTGGCAAGTCGAGCAATTTCCCGATTACTCTTTTCAGCGTGTTTATATACTTTGATCTGTGCTTTCTCGAAGTCCGAGAGCGTTTTACCTCTTGCCATTACTTAATAATAACTTACCGTAAATACTGTAATAGTACCCCACCCCCATAATGACGGTGCGGAGTGTTGCGTAGTCTAGCTTTGAACGAGTTTTTCTCGACACTGGTTTATGCTACAATGCGCGCTTAGGTATCAAAAAATAGCCCTGAATTTCAGCTATTTTTTTGATACCAAAGACGTATTTTTTGAAAGTACGGGCGCTTTGAAAAAAATGAAATACTAAAAAACTTTTGCGACTACGCGACTTTACGAGGGGGGTGGGGTACTATTACAGTATTTACGGTAATAAAGTAAAGTCAATTGAATTATAAATAAAGTCGACTCTCTCTATCACGGAGCTCTATATAGCGAAAAACTCTATATAACAAAATGGACCCGTCCCATCCATTTTTGGTTCCGCCCGACGCTAAGCTATATATAACGGCACTCTATATAATGGAAAGCTCTATATAACGAAAAATTTTTTTCGTCCCTTCCATTCCATTTCTAGAGAGAGTCGACTGTAAATGGAAAACGAAAAAAAAAACAACTAAAAACAAAAAACAAAGTGGCTCTATAATTAGTTGTAGTGTTGAAATGCCATTTTTTTTACTTTTGCAGATAAAGCGCCACGACGGTTAGCAACTTCTAAGTGAAAATGTACAGTAAAGTTTAGTACAAAGATTTTCTACTAGCTAAAGCTGAATTGCATTGATTTCTCTTCAAAGTCGCGACTGAGTTTTAAAAAACATAAGTGGAGCTGGAGGTAGTTGGAGCTGTTAAGTAGGAGCAGTGTATTTGCTTCTGTTGGTGCTATTCTAAACAGACTAGACTAGTTGGTCGTACTTCTAACTATAAGTACTGTCTTTTTTTGAACTTCTGGACTAGTAGAGTTGGGAACTAAGGGCTGTTCGCCAAAAAAAAAATGGCTGCAGGCGGGGTCGAACCCTGAATCCTCGGATTGAGAGACAGACGCTCTGTGCTTTATTAAGGATTCTAGAAGGCCTGACTCTAGGTTTAAGTAAAAAAGCTATCCTCCAGCTCAGCACAACTCAAATCAGAAATTAGTTTACCTCCTTAACAATCAAATCGACAACCGTGTGCGAGCGATGTTTTCGAAAAGCGCAAGAACCGCAAATCTGAAAAAAGTCGAGCTTGAGCTTGCAAATTTCTTGAGCAAATATAGCGATTATTTTCTTTTACAATGAATAACGCAACTTTGATCTTTTGAGCTTTGATAACGGACTAAAATTTTTCCAACCTTTTCATTACAATCGAAACAGCTGAACATTTGCGAGAATGAGAACTAAAGTCTAATTTTAAAAGGTAATGTTTTATGTTTTAAGACAAACACTCTTCTCGCAATTCTCACAGCAATCCTTTGAGTCATTTGGTTTCTAAAATTCGTTTAAAAGAAATCAAAATTTTCAAATAAACCCCTTCTTTTTCTAAATCCTCAATTTGTTTGAGCATTTCCGGAAGTTCTCGGAGAAAATCTGGAAATCGAGATTTTTAGTGGTAAACGTTAAGAAAGTTTACTTTTCAAAACATTGTTCTTTTTCACGCAATCTTTCGATCGAAGGCATACAGATTGACAAATCGGACACACAACTTTGAACTTGAATTGATCCGAGCTTTCCGTGGAACTTTTACGAATCATTTCAAAACATGCATTGCAAATGAGATGATTGCAACGAAGACGGAAAGGTTGGAAAGGTTCGGTCTCGATTGAGTCTGAAACTTTGAAAAATTCATTCCTTTTTACAGAAAGGGACAAGTTTTTGGAAATCTATATTCTCTATATTACCAGCTGTAAGTAATGCGAAAATTTCCAAAATCGGCAACCGATTTTGACTTTTGACATGAGAAAGTGAAATTAGTGAAAACGAATCCTTTTTCTCATGCTTTCTTATGAAGTAAACGAATCCTTTTTCGCATACTTTCTTATGAAAATTCTTTTACGCATTCCGCTAAATTGATAAACCGTTGAGCTCATTTTAAAGAAAACGAACAGAGTTTTCGAAATCATAAGTTATTCTAATCATTTCTTAGCTTTCAATACTTTCAATACAATATTCAAAACTTTCAATCCTCACATTCCTCTTGACAAATCGGACATTCGGGCAAATGAAGTGGTTTTACAAGGATGTAGCCTTGATTTTCAGCGGAAAGCTTAAGTGATTCGTTGATGAGAAGCTCTGAAATGGATTATCGTGAGATTCAAATAAGCAACTCGAAAACCATTTAAGAAATAAGGCGGTAAAATGAATTGATTCGATAGACAATTCGTGAAAGTGCATTGATGAGATCGCTTGGATTTGTCGAGGGATCTCTCCTTTAGAAAGCATTCACTGCAAAGGACGACATCACAAAAAAGTTGACGAGGTGAACGAGGATCATCGGTGTGAGGGAGAACTTAAGAATTTATCGAAAATATTTCGAAAGGATTGTTGAGTGACTCCTAGGCACTACGCTGGTCAATGGTAGATTTTTTGAGCCGTCGACTTGGGCCAGGCAGGCTCTCTAGGAAGTCCGCAGCTACCGAAACCTGCACATCACGGCTTTTACATTATAGCTATGTCATTGCGTTTCTAGATCTAAATAAGTAGGTGATATTAATTTACCAAGGTACTTGAGTTATTGTAAAAGTGGGTTAAGGTTGCGGTAGCTGGGACTCGCTTTGAAGTGCCTAATAGTCTCATAGTCTCTTAGTTACAGTAGTTTAAGTTTGATCAAAATTAATCTTTGAGTGGTAATGTGTTTTTACTGATTTTGCTTCAGTTTTAATCTAATTTTTTCATTAAATCTGTTCTAAAACTTCAGAAGTTTTGATTAGCAAAAACTTCTTGATTGTCGAAAAAACTTACATGGCAAATTGCAATGCGGGCAATTGAGCGAACGAAAAACTTTCATTGTAATAGATTCTTTGCTGAGTTAGCAGATCAAATTTCACAAGAAAATAACAGTTTTGAGCTTTTAAGAAATGGATTGCATGGGGATTTATGGGGGAAATCCTGAGAGAGATTTGTTGATTCAATGGTGGAAAGAAGAGAAATTTCGCAAGGAAAATCACCCACGAGATTTTGTTGATTTTCGCTTATCGACACAGAAAAAGAAAGAAAAACAACAGCTGTTCGCAAAAATAAAAAATTTTGAGAATGTCTGCGAAAAAATGTGATATGTTTGTTTTAGATTTTCACGAGTGAGTAGAAAATTGACGAGCTGGAGAGTGTGAAAGTTTTATGGATTTTGAAGAAAAAGAAAAAATCCAAAAAATGTTATAGAAATCTGTATTAATCAAAATCAAAATTGAATTGTATTGAAAGCCTTAAGCACAAATGAACAAAGACAAAGACAACAAAGTTCGAACAAAGACAAAAGCGAGCACAACATCAAAAAAAAAGATTGGAAAACTACTATGAAAACTTTAAATACAGTAAGTAAAATTAGATTACAGTATTTTGGAGTAAAAAGCATTTAGACGTTACACTGTAACTTTACGAGAGCTTTGTTAGCTTTACTAGAAGAGTTCAAAGTCAGTCTACAGTCTACGTTACACTGTAACTTTCCGAGAACTTTGTTAGCTTTGCTAGAAGAGTTCAAAGTCAGTCTACAGTCTACGTTACACTGTAACTTTCCGAGAACTTTGTTAGCTTTGCTAGAAGAGTTCAAAGTCAGTCTACAGTCTACAATTCATCTGCAGTTAGCCAAAAACATTGAAGCTTTGCAATATCATGAAACTTTTCAAAAGTTTCTTTTTATCTTTAATCTTTTCTCTCAAAAATACTCTTGTTCTTAAAAAAAATGATTAAACTTTGCAAGGTTTTTTTGCAATAATCGGATTTTCGGGTCTTTGCTTTTTCTTCGCTTTCTTTCAATTACTTTTTGTATTTTCGTTTATTTCGGTCGAGTGATGGGATAAGTCAAAGATTGTTTAGTGAATAAATTCAAGAAAACTCTTTTATTACTTCATTTTTGATGGATGTTTTACGAAGTAATGAAGTGGGAGGAATTCCTCTGAAAATCGATCGCTTTGACGATTTCATCGCGGCTGGCCTCGTTTTTTTGGTTGATTTGATTAAAAATCGTTAATCAAATCGATTTTCAGATTGCTTTTCTTGGGCTGATCATTAATTTTTGGAATTTATGGTATTACCATCGTGATTCACAATTGATCACTTGCTTTATAAGAGCTCGAATCGTGAGCAATCTCCTCGCTTTGGTTACTTTTCTCGTTTATGTGATGCCGGTGATTGTATTGTGAGTTTTAAATTGTCTTCTTTTTTAACATATAATTGATTAATGAGACTAATACAATAGTAAACGATAGCAAAAAATAAAACGTATACCGTAGCTAGGGATCATCTCTGATTATGAAACGGAAGCTACTGATAAATCTATATACTATCAAAATTTTTCTAGAGTCTTTTACAGCTAGAATTCTTATTCTACATTAAACATAGTTAAGATTTGTTAAACTAGGTTAGAACCGAGTTGGTGACTATTTTGCGGTTTCTAAGCTTTTGCAGTAGCTCAACACCCTAATCCCTCACTAGATCTCATCGTCAGCTACATTTTCCGACCCCACATCGATAGGTTCTGATAAGCGGTTCTCGAGATTTCGAGTAATTTAGGCGAAGCTTAGGGTGCACTACTATTAAGAAAAATACGGCAATGAAACATGGACCATTAGCTCATCTAAATAGTAAATTGGTTCTCTACTCTTTATTGGGTGGAGCTATGTTTAAGTACACGGAGACTCCCGTTGAATACCAGGTAGCAGAAAAGATACCGCATTTTCCCTACCACTACACTGCGGCGAGCCGAGTTGGTGACTATTTTACGGTTTCCAAGCTTTTGCAGTAGCTCAACACTCAAATCCCTCACTAGATCTCATCGTCAGCTACATTTTCCGATCCCACATCGATAGGTTCTGATAAGCGGTTCTTGAGATTTCGAGTAATTTAGGCGACGCTCAGGGTGCACTACTATTAGAGAAAATACGGTATATGGCAGCATTTACATAACTTCTAATATCTACTAAACACTCCTTCTATCTATTAAACAGCATTTAACTTCTAATATCTATTAAACAAACTTCTTTGTACGAGCTCATAAGCCTCTCTGTGGCGTCGGCTGATTGGTAAAGGAGAAGTTTGCACTACTATTAGAGAAAATACGGTAGGGCTGAAATAAATAATCGGTTGAAATTCATAATCGGCTACGGAGATCGCGCCGATTTTGAATGAAACGTTTTAGCGCCCGCAATTTTTAACTTAAACTCACAAATTTTGTACCAATCGACGCAGAATTTAATTAGCTACGAAATTATATACATTAAATTAAAGGAATTAAATTATACTTATACATTAAAGGGTTACTAGAAAGGTTTACTAGAAAGGTTTGCCAAAAAAAAATTTGATTTAGAATCGGCTACGACATATACATCTTATTTTAAAAATATTTGATTCAGTGCACTGAAAGATGTGCATTCAAGTGTTTGGAATCGAATCTTCGAGTTACTCGTCTGTTAGCTGACGATGAGATCTAGTGGGGGATTTGAGTGTTGAGCTTCTGTGAAAACTTTGAAACCGTAAAAGAGTCACCAACTCGGCTCGGCGCAGTGCAGTGGTAGGGAAGAGGCGGTATCTTTTCTTTCCCCTACCTGATATCCAACGGGAGTCTCCGTGCAGTTAAAGATCGCTCCACCCAATAAAGAGTAGAGAACCAACTTACTATTTAGATGAGCTAATGGTCCATGTTTCATTGCCGTATTTTCTCTAATAGTAGTGCACTCTGAGCGTCGCCTAAATTACTCGAAATCTCGAAAAGCGCTTATCAGAACCTATCGATGTGGGATTGGAAAATGTAGCTGACGATGAGATCTAGTGAGGGATTAGAGTGTTGAGCTACTACAAAAGCTTGGAAACCGTACTCATACATTAAAGGGTTACTAGAAAGGTTTGCCAAAAAAAATTTGATTTAGAATCGGCTACGACATATACATCTTATTTTAAAAATATTTGATTCAGTGCACTAAAAGATGTGCATTCAAGTGTTTGGAATCGAATCTTTGAGTTACTCGCCTGTTGGTCTTACATGTCAATCGTGATGTTGGAGCCAATTGTTGCATCGAATCGTTTCGTCGCCATTTTCTTTCCAATTCATTACGATCGAATTTTCAATAGACGCTTTACTTTGGTAAGTCATTTAAGTTTTCAAGTACAACTTTCAAGTACAACTTTCAAATACTTTAGATTTCGATAACGATCACTCTTTTCCTAGCTACTTACTCGATTATGCCCGAATTGTTTAGTGAGTGATGAAGAAAATGATTTTTCCAAACAAAATCCAAGTTTCAGCTCAAGACTGTATCTATTTCTTTGATTACATTCACTTGGCTTGGGGCTATCCGGACTCAGAATGCGGGAGATTCGCCGAAACATATGCTTTCCTTGCTCCATGCTATGTGTGCAATGCCACCACTTTCATCATCAATTTGATAATTTTCGCGCGGCTTGCCATCATGAATTTGGCTGTTTGTTTTGAGTCTGTCTGACCGGGAATTAGAAAAACTAGCTTATTTTTAAACACTTGTGATTTAAACTGACTCATTTCTTTCTCAAGAGCTCAATGATCTACCAGCCATTTTAGAAGAAACCCTTAACAACCTGCAAACGATCGAGCAATCACATTCGTTTCTTTGCACAGGTTTGATTGCGAATTTAATTTAGTGTTGTTCCAAAGGCATTTCTTTAAGACTAGGTCATGTCATTGTAAATCCTTTGCCTGATCTAGTTTTATTATAAACCTGAGGCCGTTTTCACCAACGTGATCCGATCATGATCGACGTGTGATCGTGATCGGATCAAATCGGATCGTGGTTGAATCGTGATCGGATCGGATCAAATCGGATCGTGATTGGATCGTGATTGAATCGTGATCAGATCGGTTCGGATCAGATCGGATCGTGAGCGGATCCTGATCGAATCGGATCGGATTGGATCAGATCGGATCGGATCGGATCGGATCGGATTGGATCAGATCGGATTGGATCCTGATCGTGATCGGAACAAGGAAATGATCGCCCTGTTCACGCTTTGATCCGCGCCGATTATAAAGTTTTTGACCCGATTTCACCAAAGCTAGATGTCAAGAGGTTCTCAACAAAGATACTCGAGAATTTCCGCTCGTGCGGAAATGGTCGATTGGTCGAATTAGCTCATCCTATTACTTCATATTAATACTATTTAGTAGGGAATAGTATTACCTATTCATGTTCTCAAAAAGTGTTTACTTTCTTAAGAACTTGTTCTGTATCATTCATTTCACAAATTTGCTTACAAAATATGGTTTTTTATTTGTGAAATTTTGATCAGTTAGTGTTTTATGCGTTTATTGCGATGATTCGCGTGGGTATCCACCACTAGGATATCATACTTTCCAATGGGAAGTTGATCGACGCGAACACAGCAGCACCGGTCAAAAGTTTGATGAAAAGCGCTCGGATCTGATCCGCACTGATCACGGGTCACCAATATTTTGGTGATTTGCGAATCATGGATTCTGAATTTCGGATCAAAATTGGTGAAATCCGATAGTTGATGATCCGTGGCGCTCAAAAGTTTCATGAAATCGAATCTTCGATCAAAACAGCGCGAATCACACAGATCATGATCGGATCACGTTGATGAAAGCGGCCTCTGGACAACAAAAAGTCCCTGGGCTTGCTAAGGAAATTTTGGACATATTTGCAATCATCAATACTCAATCTATAGCTAATCTGCTGAATATACTCAAAAGTCAGACACTCAATCCGTTTTACTCAATCTCAATCCATTCTAGTCATCAACGCAATTCTTCATATTTCTGATCGATTTGGGCATAAACACGTTCACCGAGGATCCGGGTAT